ACGAGCGCGTTAAGTGCTATACAGATAGTTTCATTAACGATCGACACTGCGCACACACATACAGCAAGGCGAGAGGCCACAACAACATCGACTCTCGGCACCACCGCCAGCGCACGTGTAACGATCTGCTCTCCTCGGCATCCTAATCTTCTTTTCCTTTCTTCCGACACTTTTCCGCACTCACACTCGTACACGTACACACACGAGTTGAATTTCTATTCTCTCGAGAGTCAATCGGGTGCTTATCTGCTGGCGACTTATTGCCTTCCTTTTTTTCTCTCTAGCTCTCTTCCTTTTCGCCGCGCACTGAACGCTATGTGCAGATAACTATTATACAGGAGATGCGAGTATTTGCTGCTGCTGCTGCTCTGTGTTTGTGTAACGCTGAAAATATACGAGCGTGCGAGAGGCAGGAAAAAGTTTATTTTTCAAGTATATAGTAATAATAATCCGCTGTCCGCGCGGAATCAAGTATGTATTATAAAATGTATAATTATGATACTTTTTACGTTTCTGGTATTTAATTTCGAATGATAAAAAAAATGAAGTAAGAAAAAAACAACAACGAGAAGAGAAAGAGAGAGAGAACCCGTCTCGCAGGTACTTATATAGCTGATACAGAGTCCAAACGCTCGAGTCGTGAATGACAAGTTTTGCTCTCGCTTCGTGCGTGTGTGTGTTCGAGCCTCCCCAATAATCTTTCGTTCGCTAATTTATTTTATTGACCGGATTCGACCGTTATATACACGCACTAATAGGCAAGATCTGACCACCGTCGGCTTCATAATTGGGCGGAAAAGAATCGTATAAAAGAGAGAAACTTTCGTTCCGTGTTTCTCGCTCGTGCTTCTTATTTTTTTCTCTCTCTTTTTTTTTGTTTTTTGCCTCATTTTAGATCGTTTTGGCCTTTTTAAAAGAATCTTAATGAATTGGAAACTTAGTTTCGCCGCGCAATTACGCGAAGAAAGAGGAGAAAGATCGGCGAGCTTCGTGGTTCGATGTTCGTCAATCTGAATTTAATTTTTTGCCGATATCACATAATTGCGATCGTTGCGTTATCGGATCGCGTACGCTCGCCGATATATATATGAGGAAAAAAGGTGGAAAATTTCTTTTCATTAATTGTTTTTTTCTCAGCCGCGTGTTTTGCGGTGTGCAGGTATATATAATATCGTAAAAATCGCCGCGAGTAAAATGACAAAAGTCTGGGAAAAGAACAAAGAATTATTTATAAGAAAGAGTCGCAGCAGTAGTAGTAGTGGGTCACACGATTGAGAAAACGGCATCTTGTGCGCACGTCGAAGAAAAGGCCCCGCACAGACGCAGACGCGCATTGAGGTAATTTAAAGTTCAATACGATGTATCATCGTATAATCAAAAACACGACGTGTACTGTACACACACACACACACAGAGAAGACCATCCATTATGAGGGAAGAAAAGGATACAATTCTGTATCTCTCGATGCTCCCTCTGTGTGTGTGTACATAGTATAATATAATATCAGACACGGGCGATCTTGCGAATCACGTTCCCATCGACGACTCCCGTATCTTGTAAAACCAGCAGGTGTCCCACCTTTTTCTTTGCTCCAGGTCTCTATACATGCCTATAAGTACTAGCGCGCAGCGTAGGATGATTCTCTATCGCCTCGACAACGTATATAAAAATTCACCCCCTCCCGTGCAGAGTACGTACTACTACTACTACTACTACTACTACTACTACTACTACTAGCTTCACAAGCCGCCCACACGAACTGCTGCTTGCAGAATAGCTTATACATACATACGCAGCGAAGAAGAAAAAAAAGACGAAGAAGAAGAAGAAGAAGTAGAAGCGTGAAAAAGAGAGAGAGAGCAGAATCGAACACTGGTTCTGACTATATGCAATATCTAAGAACATGCTATTCGACAAAAGTCATGTGCATACAGCACACGTACCACGGTATCCAAAGATCGTACATAGACTCGATGTCGCGCGCGCGCGCGAAGAATAACACCTTCCATCGTTTTCTTCCTTCTTTCTTCGCGTTTCTTCTTCTTTTTCTCGCTCTTTTTTTTGCGTCGTCGTCGTCGTCGTACATACGCTCGTGTGTACGTATACAAATACACTCGTTACTCGTATGCATGTGTTTGTGCGATCCACACAGAGCGTCCCGCTGCACATACACACCCGCGTACGGGGGCATTTTTTTCACGCCAATTCGAGCGCGTGCTATATCAATATTTAGAAATTTCGTTCTGTATACACTGTACATCACTGGCCACAGCTTCGTCGCCACGCGCATCCATCATTTACTCTCATATAATGAGAGAAACGTTGAATTCACTTGACTGGGGGTGCATATGGAGGCATAAAACGCACGCACACCTATACAATGTATCGCGGGTATGAGAAAATTTAGACTCGAGCGCGTGCACTACTTTTTCATTTTTATTATTATTGTTGTTATTGAGATGCAGCCAAGCGAAACGATCGAGTACAAGCGCGCGTATTACACGCACACACATTCATTATTATGACCGCACAACGAGCTGTTTTGACGCAGTCGACTCGAGGCTGTACCGACTTTTAATTTACAGCCACGCCGCACATGTACCTACCCGAGACGCGCCTGATCTCTTATGGACCTCGAGATATTCGTACGTCACAGTGTTAGGAAATAATTTACCGATTTTTTTCGAGTTCAAGTGTGAAAGATCCGATGGTCACACATAATCATATCTAAATCGTTTGTCCTTTGCGGTTCGTGATCGATTCGTGGGACTCGTTTTATTAAATCCAACCTTTTTTAACCCACAGCTATCAATCGATTGTTCTCCGATAACTCGTCTCCTCTAGCTTTGAAGCAAAAATTTCCATTTTAGCGCGTTATCATACTCATCGCGTATTTGAGATTTAAGCTAATTTGAGTCTTTGCGACGCTCTGTGTATTTTCGAGTTCTGCCCCTAGATGTCATTTCCAAATCCACAGGTGAAAAATTCAAATTTCTGATTATTAAAGTTTGTTGTTACCTCGCTGGCAAACCTTTACTTTACCTGCGTGCCAAGTAACAAGCCACACGCAGTAACAGACGCACGCATATATAAGGCGACATGTCCACGTGTTTGCTCTATATATAAACCCTCGTGGCGTAATTTCGTTCCAGTTACGCCTACTCTAGACGCTACTCGTGTGTATGTATGTGTTTATAAACACACAAACGGCCTTTTTCTGTCGCGTCCAGTGCTATATGCACACATACATGACGCGACGGGCGTCGAGCGTGTAATGACGAATAATGGACCGCAGCGAGAGATGTCCCACATATAATATGGGATCGCGACAAAAGGGCAAAAGGGAGCCAGTCACCAGCAGCAGACGCGACGCAGCTCGTTGAAGAAAAGTGACTGATGAGCCTGGGAAACGGGCCCAAAATTTACTACTCCTATACTATATGTACATGCTACAATGAGCTGTGCTGCCTGGGCGAGCAACACATACACATACGCACGCGCTCGCGAGCAGGTAGATCTGCAGCGAACGAGAGAATACGCCTCGACTTTTTTTTCTCCATCACCCGTCTTTATACTCGCGTATTATGTATAGGAGTGCGTGGGAGGCTACCGTGTGGCTTGTTTTCAACTGTACGTGTATATAGCGTAATAGTGCGCGGGCCCGTGTATTCCGATCTATTCTCCCTACCATCGGCGCACGTCCTCGTTTTGTTGCCCATACACACGGACATGCTTTACAGATTATGAATTCGATTAATATCTCCCTCTCTCTTTCTCGATTAATAAAAACGAGTGAATCTTTGATTTATGTCCGTTGGCTTATTGTATGAGTTGAATCCGGGTCGCGCAAAGATACACACTTATGCGAGAAGGCAGAAAAAAATTATCGAGCAGAAGAGGAAGAATGTAAACAGTCTTTATTGTCGAAATTAACGTGTGACTGGTGACTTGGTGTGCAATGGATACTAGATAATTGAATCACTCATAATGAAACTTCAAGTAATTCATTTTTTCATCGCATAAATTTTTGTTTCTGGAACTTTATTTATTTTTTTTTTTTAACTTTTTCAATTCAATTTATAATTACTTAGATTTAAGGGAACACATACACCTTAAACTCGAAATTTTTTTATTGCTTTATTGAGTAGGATTTTTCCGTCCCTTTCCATTGCTTTTTTCGAAATTCCAAAATTTTGATTTTGCCCTGAGATACAGCTGTTTCCGTGAACCCTTTTCCTATACTTTACGTGTTAAATTTTTTCTTCTTTTGCGTTTTCTGGCGAGTAATGTTTTTGGTTTCGGTAAATGAGAAAAATGGAAAAAAATGTGTGCTTAACTGTTCAAGCAGAGCAATCTGCCCGTTCGATCGTCTCATCCGAGGTAGTGACCGTAACCATTGATGTTCTGAAGAAGTGTACGCGACCCTGGTGCAGAAAGCTCAATCGATACCCTCTGAATATTACGACAGGTGTCCAAAAACACTACTCGTCAGAAAACGCAAAAGAAGAAAAAATTTAATACGTAAAGTATAGGAAAAGGGTTCACGGAAACAGCTGTATCTCAGGGCAAAATCAAAATTTTGGAATTTCAAAAAAAGCAATGGAAAGGGACGGAAAAATCCTATTCAATAAAGCAATAAAAAAATTTTCGAGTTTAAGGTGTATGTGTCCCTTTAGATATTTTTATAATGATTTATTTTTATTACAATTACAATATATATAGCTGTTTATTGATTTTCGATTTTCATTCAAGTGAATAAATTTTAAATATAAATGATAAACTCATGGGTATGGAATTTTATTCACATAAAATATAAAAACGATATAATGAAATTTTCTCATCAATCGAACAGCAATGCCAAAATGCTACAAAATATCAACTTTTTAAATAGCAATAAAAAAATTTGATAATTCATTTCATTAAAAACACAAAAAAAATCAAAATAATATTGAAAAATCCAGGAAGATGAGAACTGACCAACACATCATTTGTTATAAAACTAAGTGCAATAAGGTAACTGCCCGACAATTTTTTCGTTATCAAAATTCTGATGAAGGATGCTAATGAAATTACGGTCCATCAATCCACCCGCCCTAACTTTGTTGATAAAGTCCAGGTAGGATGAGACTCTAGTGTATTTGGTCGTTCTTCCACACCATTTATGATTTGAATAACTGACGATGCCAATCAGGGTATTTGTAGATGGATCGATGAGTGGACCGCCACTGTCACCCTGTAATTTGAGTTAAATTAGCATTTAATTCAAATGAATTAAAAAAAAATGTCATCATTAAAAAATTCGTCAGATCAACTTACGTGACATGCTCCGTGCGAGTTATCGTTTAGGACGCAGACTTCCGCGTCTCTACAGCCGAACTGCGGTTCAATTTTGTTAATCAATCCAGTTGCAAACTTCAAACGTGGACTGAGCGGTCCTGACTCTATCTTGCCACTTTGTGCGTTCCAATTTTGTTTGAAACTGCCAAAACCACTTACGATGGCGAGTTTTGTATTCGGCGGCATATATCGATAGTCATCCGCGGGTAAATTAATGGCCCTTATTCTGCGACTTTCACTTTTGAGAGGCAAAGGGCGTTTCAACTATTTTAAAGATGTTGTAAATGAAAAATTAATTGTAAACTTAATGACATTTTCATATAATATAAAGTGTCTCACCCTCAAAATGGCTACATCGTCAACAGCACCCTTCGAAGTTTGGTAAGAGGTAGGTACGATGGTGTATTCGACGTCGCGATAAATGCCAGAGCTTTTGTTACGCAGATCTGTCATGCCAGCCATAATGGTAATATTATAATTCTGAAATTCTTGATTATCATTAATGACGCAATGGGCAGCCGTGATTATGTGGATAGCATCGATGATGCTGCCTCCGCATTGGTGAAAAGTACAATCCTGTCCAATCATTTGAAGAGACACTTGATGTTTGAATCTCCCCTGTGGAGCGTAATTGCCACCGACTATTCTTTGTACTACTTTCGCTGATGCGAGAATTTTTAGGGAAAAATAGCTCATTATAATGTGACGCTCTGATTACAAAGATGGAAAAATAAAAAACTCACCATTGCTGATTGCAATGTTCAGAATTAGTCCTACGAACAGACCCAAGAACGATTTTTTCAACATTTTGATCAAGCTTAGAAGTATTAAAACTGATGCAACTAGACAGAAGCGTTGATCTGCGCCATCAAAGCTTCAAAGTCGTTATACTTCCAGCGATTATTATATTGAATACTTATATTCTTTTTTTCGGCTTTACTTGGTTCAACATTGGATTTTTTTTAAATTAAATGCAAATATCATTGAAAGAAATGTTGACAAATAATAGTAATTATTTCCGAACAATATAAGTAATTCATTTTCAGATGAAATTTTGCACATCTCATTGAACTTTTGACAATGTCTTGGAAACGATCCAATCAAAAATCATAAACTTAAACACCTATTGCTATCTGTAATCAGTTTTAATTGAAAAAGAAAGGCCTATTATGTTATTGACTCGTAGCGATAAGCACATGAGCCGATGACAATTTAGTCCTACTGAAACAGATTTTATTGTTTTTATGCGTGAGTTATCTTTTGAATTCTGAATAATCATTACGTTAAGCAAGCTTTATTTCTATATAAACATTAAAAAAAATGACATAAAATATTTCAATTTTTTTGATTGTGCTTAATGAACTATTCTATTTTCGACCTATGACCACTTCCAAGCTAAATCATTCAAGCATATGCAAGGCGATCATTGTTATGGCCCCATTGAGAGAAGATGTACGAGGAGGCCGCGCAATAAAAATTCAAATTCGAATCGAGAAAAGAAGACTTGTGAGTACGACAGAGGGAAACAGAAACAGTGACTTTTACTAACTTCGTTGTTAAAAAAAAAACTATTCAACGATGTGGATCTTGAGTACGATGTTTATACGTATGCACTGATGTAAATTTTGTACGAATGATTCATTTGTCGAATTTCATTCCGTAGCTATCGATACTAAATCCGCACAAGCTCGCTATAAAATAGAACCAATGCGAGACAAGTTCTTCCTTGAAATTACTTACACAAAATCTGAATATTAAGGGATCGTGAGCTAGCAAGGTAAAACGCTCTTGATTGAATTAAAAAAGGTAATTAATTATTGAAAACAAGTGATAATCTAGAAATACAAATTTTGAAGAGGGTACAGGTGTATATAGATAATGTAATTTAATTTAATAAAGCCGTTTCCATGAAAACTTACAGCAAAATTTGCGCTACTATGTACTTGCGTTTGATCTTTGCGCAGTTGAATGAATCCTGTATATGAATAGTATAGGTTATTTATTCAAGGCTATAATTTTTTTCATTTGAAATATAAAAAATTAAATTTATTTCATTTCACAAATTAGCGAACAATTTGCTAATATTGTAATGCAATATTAATTCGTTTACATGAGTTGGAAACGGTAATCGAAGATTCTATAAATTCATTTTTATTAATGAAGGTACAAAACAAATTATGAAATAATATAATACAAATCCAGAACGATAAAGATTTACGAGTACATCAATATTCGGATAACTGATCACAATGAGGATACCTCTGTATAATTTGTTCATGTCTGAAATCCTGCTCCTTTTGATTCATAATAATGTCATCAGAGGAGAACCAACCACCTGCCCGTACTTTGTTGATGAAGTCTAGGTAGGACGAAACTCTAGTGTATTTGGTCGTATCTCCGCACCATGCATGACTTGAGTAACTTACAAGACCAACCAGGGTATTTTTTGATTCATCCGTGAGTGGACCACCGCTGTCGCCCTAAAATTGAGATGAAATTCGTGGTCAATTCAAAAAAAAAAATAAAAAAAAATATGTTAATTCTGAAATGGAAAAGGTAGGAGATCAACGTACATGACATGCCCCATGCGACTGAAAGTTTCGAACACAGACTTGCTTATCTGTGCAGGGAGGATAATCGTTCTGATTAATCCATCCAGCTGCGTACTTTAACTGCGGACTGTTCGATCCCGACTTTACTTTGCCATTTTCCGGGTTCTTACTTTGTGAGAAACTTCCAAAACCACTCACAGTTGCGAATCGTGTATCAGTATAGTCTGGCAGATATTGATTGACCGTAGGTAAATTGACAGCCCTTATTCTTTTGCGTTCATCGTTGAGAGGCAAAGAACGTCTTAACTATTGCCAAGAGTTAAAAAGTAAATCATTTAATAGAACTTGATGATTTTTTTTCTACTAAAGTCTCAAGCGACTTACCCTTAACAGTGCTATATCGTCATTAAACTGTCCGAGAAGGTTCTTCGTGTAAGAGGTAGGTATAATGGTGTACTCGACGTCGCGATAAATACCGGTAGTTTTGTCACGTAGATCCGTCGAACCGGCTACGACGGTAATCGATGCATCGTCTAGCTTGCGAGTGACATTGTTAGTGACGCAATGGGCGGCCGTGATAATGTAGTCCTCATCGAGTATGGCACCACCGCAAAAATGATGAGTGCAACCATAAGGGCTGATGATTTGCAGAGATACTTGATGTTTGAATCTTCCCTGTTGAGCTAAATTACCACCGACTATTCTTTGCACTATTTTCGCATTTACTAGAATTTTTGAGAAAAAACAGGTTATTAGCAATGGGGTGTTTGAATAAACCAGGTGAAAAAAAGGAACTCACCATCGCTCACTGAAATGTTCAGAATCAGTCCCACGAAAAGACCTAGCAACGATATTTTCAACATCTTGACTGAAGAAATCGTGAGTAATAAAACTGATGTAACTTGATGAAAACTTTGATTTACCACATCAAAGCTTCAGAATCGCTACACTTCCAATGATCATCAGATTAAGTACTTATATTCTTTTCTCGTATCAATTTTGGTCCAACGGTGGTATTTTTTAAAATGAAAAACAAACATAACTGAAAGGTATATTGACAAGTATTTGGAATTAATTTCAAACAATGGAAATAATTTATTTTTAGATTAAATTTTACACTACTCATTAAACTTTTGACAATGCCTTGGAAATTATCAATTCAAAGATATCAAATTTAAACACCGTGTGTCATGTGTAAAAATTTTTGATTCAAAATAAAGGTCGATCATGTTATTGACCCGCGGTGATAAACACACGTGTACCGATGACAGTTTTTTAGTTTTTTTATAATAAACCTTGTTTTTCATCGAACTAATTGACTTCAAACCCTACGTCAGCTTATCCATCGCCTCTGTTATTTGTTCAAAAACCGCGATATCAGTCGTCCCCTAAGCTGACGGTTAAATAGGAACGCCATGTTGATCCCTGGCGTACCATCAGCATAGCGATCCAGTGTACTATCGCAAGGTTGTACGCCAAGACGCAGCGTTTACAGCCTTTTCGCAACTTTTTAAAGTTGATTTGCAATTGAGCCGCCGAGCTTATGATCTGTAACACATCGCATTGAATTTTAATGATACAACGAAAAATAAAGACTAATTCAAGTTACTCGTACTCAAATTGAAATCTGTGACATCGTCGACTATGCGCGTGGAAAAACATCTCGCGAGCAGGAGCAGAAAATTTGAATTTCAAATATGCCTTTTTTGAGGCTTTTTCATAGGTCATCATTGAACTCTCAGGCGAAAAATACGTTGGATATGGTGTTTTCATGTTTACATACCCTTATTTCGCGAGATTTCTACAGGATACTATAATTTTACCCAATCCCTGGATGCAGTGAGTGATACGTTGATGTTTATACTGCTACGGACACATAATTCCTGTACTTTTCCGTCGGTATTTGGTTTATCATCGTCGTTTCCATATAAACATATCAAAAAATTTGTGCCAAGATAAACTTTTATTTTATTAAAAAAAAAGGGAAATTCAAAATTGATAATTGGATAAATCCAGCATATAAACGATACATTCAATGTGCCAAAGAGTATACAAGTTTATTTTTATAAGATATAGAGTGAAAAATATAATAAATTTATTTTCAAAAATCGGTTAGCATTGAATGAATGTTATTATACGTAATAGCCATTATTTTACACAACTAAGTATCGAAAATCGAACTATTTATAAATTCATTTTCATTATTGATAATACAAAATAAATTATTAAAATAATATCAAACAACTCTAGAAAGATGAAGGTTTACAAATACATCATTTTTCAGATTGCTGATCACAATGCGGCAATGTTGGCATAATTTGTTCATTATTGAACTTATTGTAAACGGTACTAATGTCATCAGAAGAGATCCAACCGCCTACCCGTACTTTGTTGATGAAGTCTAGGTAGGATGAAACTCTAGTGTATTTGGTAGTATCTCCACACCATTCATGATTTGAGTAACTCACAAGACCAATCAGGGTACGTCTTAATTCATCGATGAGTGGACCGCCACTGTCACCCTAAAAGATGAAAGTTGATGTTAATGCAAATGAATTCGAGAACATTTTGTTTTATGTTTTTAGTGATTGAAAAATGTATAAGATCTACATACATAGCACGATCCGTGAAAATTAGTGTTCCGCACGCAGACTTGTTTATCCGTGCAGGGGGGATTATCGTTCCGCCTGATCAATCCACTTGCGTACTTTAAACGCGGACTGGTTGGTCCTGACTCTACTTGGCCATTATATGGATTCCTATTTTGTTTGTAAGTGCCAAAACCACTCACGACGAGATTTTGTGCTCTCGCCGGCTCATATCGATTGTCGTCCCAAGGTAAATTAATTTGCTTTATTCGTGGATCTTTACCGAGAGGCAAAGGGTGTTTCAACTATTGAAGGTAAGAAATCCAAGAATTAACGTAGGCTTGATGATTTTTTTACAGTTTAAAGCTACTCACCCTCAAAATTGCTATATCGTCGTAATAATATCCAGGAAAGTTACTCGAGTAAGATTTAGGTATGTATGTGTACTCAACGTCGCGATAAATGCCGGATCTTTTGTCACGTAGATCAGTCGCACCGGCCACGATGGTAATCGGTACATTGTTTAACTGGTACGTGGATTTGTCGGTGACGCAGTGGGCGGCCGTGATGATGTGCATAGAATCGATGATGCTGCCACCGCATTGATGAAAACTACAACCCTTTCCAATCAGTTGAAGAGACACTTGATGCAAGAATCGTCGTGTTGGAGCGAATTGGCCGCCAACTATTCTCGGCGCTATTTTCGTTCTCGCCGATACTCAATTTTCCAAGAGAAAAAAATAGTTTATTGCAATGTGACGTTTGATTGAAACGGGTGAAAAAAGAAAGAAACTTACCATCGCTCACTGCAATACTCAAAATCAGTCCAAAGAACAAACTCAACAACAGTTTTTCCATATTTTGTTGGAACTTTCTAAAAATTACAGATATTATTAATACTCATAAAACTAGACAGAAGCTTTGATCTGCACTATCAAAGCTTCAGAGTCGTTATGCTTTCGACGATCATTATATTGAAGATTTATAATTTTTTTTGTTTCACTTTTGGTCAACTGGTGGGATTTACATCTCACCAAAAGTATTCTGCAACAATTAATTACACTTCAATAAAAATGTAACGTGCGCAAAATAATTTTTTTCAGAAGTGGCACAACTATGAAAAATGAAAAATGTATTAGTTACATGAAAAAATGTTTAATGAATATGTAACTTTTGCAAATTAAACTTAAAAAAAAAGGCTGAGTCGCCAATGTGTAATCGAAGCACATTACAATTTTTAAGGAATCACCATATGAACAAAAGTCGAATACGCGCACCTTACACTTTATTAATGGTGTTTTGCGTTGAATAAACTTTTCATAAAAAAACTATTTTAAAATCTAAAATAGTGCAAATGAAACACATATTTCATATAAAGAAAAAATGCTGCATAAATTTCTTTTAATACTTTCAAGAAAAAAAATTTATTGGCTTTGTCAGCAGAAAAAACACTTTATTAGACAAACAACTAATTTCCGTTAAATTAATTGCGACCGTGAATATTATAAAAAAATGTTTAAGGATATAAGCAGTGATCATTTGAATCAAATGTTTTATGTAAATGTAACTCTCACATACAATACCAGGGTTGCACAATTTTTAATTAACTCACTTTTAATTGATAATTAAAATTTAATTTTCAATTAAACTGCGTTTTAATTGAAAAATAAACTATTAACGCTCACAATGACGAAATTTTGCCTTACATTTATAGCGATTTTTTCATGTTTTGGGCCTTGAAAAATTTTGTTGATAAATATTTTGAAGTAAAGTTTAATTCCCTTTTAAAATCCTGGCTAAAATTAGAGACGTAAAAAGCAAATGTTCGTTAAACAAAAAAAAAGAAAGAAAATTGGTACAAAAAATTAACTTCAGCGTTTTCTTTCACAGTGTTACTGTAAATACGCCATCATTCATGTATAATCAAATTGTTCGGTTTCAAGAATAGTCCTCAAATTTTCAGAATTTTAAAGGACGATTTATACATTTGAAAAATAAGTAAAACGACGTTTTTTGAGTATCCCAATTTACGAATGAGCTTTTCAGATCCACTTGACTAATATTCCACAATAAGATTACCGTTGAGTTAACCCCGAAATCATATTTCATTGATTATACTAATGTAAATTGATACTTACTTTGCTTGATTGCTTTTGAGTAAAAATTGGAACGAAATAATACTTTACTACATAAGTGTCATAAGTGGCACTTCATCACCTGGTGCTTGCGCCATCCTATAAAATGGCAGTTATAACCAAAGTTTCGTATACCACCTTATATTTTGTGTGTTATTGATCCATCATTATGGTTTTTTTATAAAATTTCTTAAATAAATATCACTCGAGCGCGGCAAGGGTGACAAAAAGATTGGTTCGGGAGAAAAGGAAAGAGGAAAGAGGAGAGCTTGTGAAAAGCGAGGGAGCAGATCTAGGACTACAGGTCCTGATTGGGTTTGGGATGGAACTCGCTCACTAATAAAAATTCTATTTTTAGTTTTTTTATTTTATACAATAAATGAATAAAAATATTTCAGGTATAAAATCAAGTAATCTTCGATATTTTTGACTGCTAAATTAGCCAACTATCATTAACACATGCCTGTGGTTCTAAAAATTAATATTACTTTTGTCGCAAGATTTTCTGCCACCGACCACTTTACAATATCTAACTACATCATCAGAATTAAAGAATATGAAAGGCCAATTACTTTATTGATTCGTAGTGATTAGCACAGGAACGGATGACGGTTCAATCTTACTGATACAGATTCTACTGTTTTCACACACGAGTAAACTTATAAATTTTGAATACTACATAGCTTGAGTTTGATCTTTGTGCTGTTCAATAAATGTATATAAATGATACAGATAATTTACCGTAGGCTATATAATTTTATTCATTTAAAATTTAAAATGTAGATTTACAAATACATCATTTTTCAGATAATTGATCACAATGCTGATATCTCTGCATAATTTGTTCATGTTTAAAATCCTGTTCCTCCTGGTATACACTAATGTTATCATCAGCATAAAACCAACCACCTGCCCTTACTTTGTTGATGAAGTCTAGATAGGACGAAACTCTAGTGTATTTGGTCGTCTCTCCACACCATTCATGATCCGAGTAACTGACGATACCAATCAGGGTATTTTTAAATTCGTCTGTGAGTGGACCGCCGCTGTCACCCTGAAATTGAGGTGAAATTAATGTTTAATTTAAATGAATTCACGAAAAGAAAAATGAATAAATATTTTTTCGTGATTAAAAAATGTGTAAGATCTACGTACATGACACGCTCCATGCGACTGAAAGTTTCTGACACAGACTTGTTTATCCGTGCAGGGGGGATTATCATCTTGGTTGATCCATCCAGCTGCGAACTTTAATCGTGGATTGGTCGATCCTGTATCTACTTCGCCACTATATGGGTTCCTACTTTGGTTGAAACTACCGAAACCACTCACAGTAGCGAATCGTGTATTGGTAGAGCCTGGCAGATATTGATTGACAGCAGGTAAATTGACTGCCCTTATTTTTTGGCTTTCAACGTTCAGCGGTAACGGACGCCTCAACTATTATAAAAAATAAAAAAGTTAAAAATTAAATTAATGTAAAAACAATGATTTATCTTTCTACAGAAGTTTCAAACGACTCACTCTCAAAATTGCTATATCGTCGTAATACTGGTTGGGAGCGTTCGACTTGTGAGAAGTAGGTATCATGGTATACTCGACATCGCGATAAATGCCAGAGGTTTTGATACGCAGATCCGTCGTACCGGCCACGATGGTAATCTGTTTATAATCAAAATCGTGAGTCTCTAAATTGGTGACGCAGTGGGCAGCCGTAATGATGTGCAAATCATCGATGATGCTGCCACCGCAAAAATGATAACTACAATCCCCGTTGAGTATTTGAAGAGACACTTGATGCTTGAATCTTCCCTCTGGAGCTAAAGAGCCGCGGACTATCCTTTGCACTATTTTCGCCGATACTAAATTTTTTTGGGAGAAATCAGTTGGGCAATGTGACGTTTGAATAAAAAAGAAAAAAATAGATAAGAACTCACCATGGCTTATTGCAATACTCAGAGCAAGTCCTACGAAAAGACTCAACAACGATATTTTCAACATCTTAGCTTATAAAATTTGGAGTATTAAAACTGACGCAACACAATGAAGGCTTTGATCTTTTCAATCACAGCTTCAGAGCCGTTATACTTCCAACGATCATCATATTCAGTACTTATATCCTTTTTCATTTTTATTTTGTTCAACGGTGGAATTTTTTAAATTAAATGCAAATATGATTGAAAGAAATGTTAACAATAATTGTGATCATTTCTAAACAATGTAAGTAAATCATATTCAAATGAAATTTTACATATCTCATTGAACTTTTGACAATAGCTCGAAAACGATCAATTCAAACATATTTGAACTTAAACACTTTTTGTGATCTGTAATCAGTTTAAATTCAAAAATAAAGACCAATAATGTTATTGATGTGTAGTGATAAGCACATTTTAACCGGTTACAGTTAATTTATTTGACGACCAATAGCCGTTAGAGTTTCACATTTTAGGGAGCTTGTAGAATTGCAATTACTATCGAATTTGTCAAGATTTTTATATATAACATAACTTCAAAGCTACAGTAAACATAAAATTGATTTTCTCCCCACTCTAACCTAAAATGTGCAATTTTTCCGTAAATTTAGGCTTTCATGGAAAAAATAGCATTATCAACTAGTTTGGCTAAAAAAACCATTAATGCACTTATTGAAAAATATACTAATTTGAAATAAGAGTCAAACTTGATTTAAGGACGTTGGAGACCTTTAGGTCAAGATGGGCCACAAAGTTGATACTTCGGAATTTGATAGTTAATAACACTCATAATGTTCTCCCGAAATTTTAGCATCGATTGTCGAATGAATTTTTGTATAATTTAATTTCAAAAGTACTTTTTTTAACATGGAAATCATAGGAAAGCGCCAATTTCTCACACAATTTTAAGTGTAACTTCAGGTCAAAATGGGAGATCGTGACCAAATTTCGCATAATGAAAGATGAAATCATTACGTTTCAAATGGTATCGGTTATATTGCACATTCACGAGCTTATTTCAAAGTATTTTTATAAAAATAAAAAAATGTCGTATTTGTTCTATATGCAATCTAACTCGAGAGGTTAGCGGCAGACGAAAATACGCGTGATAACATATGTATTGGCTTCGAGCCTATGATACCATCGACCCACCTAGCCAAATCAAGTATCTACCTTCCGCTGTTTCTTGATAGTTGCTGATTTGAACTCGGTTGCGTCCCCAACGTCCTTAAATCTAATTTACGATTCAAAGCAAACTTCATAATCTTTATTTTTTCTGGGTTGTTCATACCCTACGTCGTAAAAGTAGTCCAGAATATATAAAATATTATTATGCAATACTAGGGCGAAAATATCTGTTTTCGCGAACATTTTAGTGTGCAAAGAAGGCTTTCGCACACTAGTGTACGGTAAAATGCCTTGTTTTTAATAACATCCGAAACGTCGTCAAGAACTCATTCCAGGGCTGCGACAATATTTTTTTCAATTTTTCAAACCCGAAAAATTTCTGGGTCATATGATCAAATTTTTCATAAGTATGTGTATAAGTAATATACACAATTTACTTAGGGATATAAAGTTTTATTTATATAAAATATACAAAATATAATGATTATATTTTCAAAAATAAACTAAAAATAAATCATTAACACAGACAATAAACAATTAATTACAATATTACACAACAAATTATATTTGTAGAACTAAATACAAAAAGGGGATTCCTGCATTGCTGGCCCATTAAAAAATTTGCTCTTAACAAAATCCACCTCACCAAATCCGCCTTTCGTTGCTACTTTAATGAAGTCCAAATAGGACGAGACTCTAGCGAACATAGACAATTGTCCGCACTCTTCAAGAGTTGAACTGACAATGCCAATCAGGGTATTGGTTGATTCATCAACAAGTGGACCACCGCTGTCACCCTGTAGGTCGAGTGAAATTCGTATTAAATTCGAATGCATTGTTTTTCATAATTAATGAAAAGTGTAAGACTAACGTACCTGGCATATGCCACCATCCTCACCTTCCCTGTTCGGATTCCAGGGTGTGACACAGACTTGATTGGCTCCGCATAAATGTTCATAACCTGGTAAAAGGGTGTTGATCCTTCCAAAGGTGTACTTTAATACTGGACTGGACCCCCCTTTTGTTATCTTACCACTATATGGGTTCACAGTTTGTTGATAAGTACCAAAGCCACTCATGGTGGCATATTGTGTATTAGTATAGCCTGATTGATACTGATTGGCAGCAGGTAAATTGACTGCCCTTATTCTTTGGTGTTCATCCTTGAGAGGCAATGGGTGCGTCAACTATTGTCAAGAATTAAGAAGTCAATAACTTGATGCGAACTTGATGATTTTTTTTTTCATTTTTCTTATATTAAAGTTTCAGTCGACTTACCCTCAAAATTGCTATATCGTCGAAATAAAACTTGGGATGGTTTTTCGTGTAAGAGTTAGGTATGAAGGTGAACTCAATGTCGCGATAAATACCGGAGCTTTTGTCACGCAGATCAGTTGTACCGGCAACAACGAAAATCGGTACATTATCTAACTTGTGAGTGGTAAGATCAGTGACGCAATGGGCGGCCGTGATGATATGATTTTCATCAAGTATGCTACCACCGCAATGATGATAAGCGCAGCCGTAAGGGGTGAGATATTGCAGAGATACTTGATGCAAGAAACGGCCGGGTGGAGCCTCTAGGCCGCCAACCATTCTCTTCACTATTTTCGCGGAAACTAGAATTTTCGGGAGAAAACAGTTTATTGCAATGTGACTTTCGAATAAAACAGGTCAAAAACGAGAAAACTCACCGTTGCTTAATACTATGCTTAGAATTAGACCTAAGAATAAATTGAACAATGGTCTTATCAACATTCTGATCGAGATTCTAAATTTATTATGAAAAAATATACAAGAAGATGGAGACTTCGATCTTCACCATTAAAGCGTCAGACTCATTATAATTCCATATTATCATATTCAGTACTTATATTCGTTTTTTGTTTTAATTTCGGTCCAACGGTGGGATTTTTTTTTGGAATAAAATTTGAAGATAATTGAAATAAATATTGACAAACCTTTTTCATTAATTTCAAACAATGTTAATAGTTCATTTTCAGATGAAATTTTGCGTGTCTCATTGAATTTTTTACAATGACTTGGAAACGATAAATTAAAAAATCTTAAACTCAAACACCTATTGTCATTTGTAACAAGTTTATATTGAAAATGAAAGGCCGATTATGTTACTCGTGGTGATGAGCTCACCTGTACCGACGGCAGTGTTAAGTTCTACTAAAACAGATAGTACTGTTTTCATGTGCGAGAAAGTTTGTAGAATTTTATTTATAATTACGTTTTTTGAGCTTTTTTCTACATTTACATTAAAACAAGTAAATAAAACATCTTGCTTCCTTTGGTTGACATTTAAAAATTATTTGAAATTCGATTTGTCTATATGCCCGTGATACGGTCATTGTCTTTGACCGTACGAGAGAAAATGTTTGAGGAGGAAGCGGGACGAAAATTCAAATTCAAATCGAGAAAAGAGGACATGTGCAGTGTACGTATACAAAGAGAGGCAGAAACGACGACTTTTATCGACGACGTTGACAAAAAAATAACCCTAAACGGCATGTCTCGATTTTTCGGGCACTTTTTGTTTGTACGCACAAGCATGAATCTTGCGCGAATGATTCATTTGAGGAGTTTTATTTCGTGGCTACCGATTTCCGCGTGATCGTATCAGATACTAAATTCATACAATGACGCACACGTGTGTTCTGCGTGAAGGTCGTTAAATAAAGTTGACCATGTTAAAGGTATACGCGTACATCTTGAGGACTATACCCATTGTAATTCAAATTTAACATTGTTCGTGCTCAATTGAAGACACTATTTGATAAGATATATCGACGCTAATTTTTTGGAAGATTCAAATCACAATGATTTCTTTTTGTTTCTAAACAATGAGTCAGTCTGACTAACTTATGTGCAGTTTTTGGAAGTATGCGAAAATCAATGTCATTTTCATTGCGTTTTTCCTCGCGCTATTTTCATTATATTTGAGACGGACGAAACAAAAGCCGAAACGGTAAATATAAAACCTCAAGCACACGCGTAGAAGTGTAAATACCCGTTAATCATTTCTTAAGCATACAATATGCGCATTATAAGTAACCCTCCTCCCGTCTCGTGCAAAGCAAAAGACCCAAATCACCATCGGCAGAGATCTGCGATTCTGCTGCTGCTGCGTCTGTTTGCCAACACACACAGACAAATGTACATTTATAAACGCATACACATAGTACATATGCAAGGACTAAATACGAGCAGTCACGCGGTCAACCATGGGGACCCCTCCTGTATTATGGCCATTATTCTTTCTCACGCACAATAGCACTCACTTTTGGTGCGATATATGTGTGCGTATGCGCGGGGACGATTCTCACGCTTGACATATTATAAACACACAGACGCAGGCCATATACACACGCGCCAGCGCATCAATTTCGATTTATTCGCGTTGCACAATGTGCAAACATCGAGGCGATTGGCCTTACAGCAATATATATATCGTCTCTAATTTCGTTGCTCTTTTTGGAGCCTTGATATATATATGCAACTTTACGTTATATTTTGTGTTGTTGGTTATTACAAAACGAGATTGCTAAAAAGAAGACGATATCGTGGCCCGCGAGGAGAGGTCGAGTAAACGCAAATATACGTATGTATGGTTGCGTTTTAACGTCTATTGTGTGGCATATTGTTCGCATTGCGTAACACGTACGATGTGTATCCTTTACGATTTATATAAATTTCAGTTCGACAGAATTGCCAATATGAACTTCGAGATATGACGAAGAGACTTGGCTGCAGCCGAGTCTCGACGCATTACACGACGCTCTCGCTCGATGCTAATCGTCTTTCGCCGCGAGTTCTCGAGTCCTTTTCGGGCTTGTAATACGTTTTATTCGGTATTATATGTAGCGCTTGTTTATAAGAGACGAACGAAAATACGATCGCATCTGGATTTCTTTCTTTTTTCATCTCTTTTCTACGAATTATATATATCATAATTTATTAAACGAAAATGATTTATATACGTATCCATGCGACTATGAGGCACAGCCAAAGTAGAGAAAGAGAGAGAGAATTATGCATGTTATGCAGGAGATTTAATCCAGTTTGATCGACATTAACCGTTGCTGCTCTCGTGTATAACCCTTTTCTTTCGTCGCATGTCGACATCAGGAATTATACATTTGTTATTATATACGCCGGGCGCGCACAATACACTCGCGCGCGCGCCAACAACGATGATTCCGAGGGAGAGAGGCACAGACAGAATTCGCTGTCGGATGTGCGAGATTTCGCGAATCTCACAGAATACGTACAAGGATGAATAATAATATTATATCGATCGCGTGTGTGCGTGTGCACACGAGGCCTTATTTTCCTCGTACACGCATGTCACACAGGCATAAGATATTCGGGAAAAATTAAAGGATTACGTTGCACCGGCGTACGGCGCACAATAGCGAGCTGGCAAAATAAAATCATGACCATAAGAATCGACGACAAACCTAATGCGATCTTGTTCCTCGAGCATAATACTTTTTATAGTTGCTTACATCGATGCGTGTCGCGGCTGAAATATAAGCGCGCGCGAGAAGAGATCGTGCTTGGGTCAGCGTATACTCGGCTCATCAGCAGCGGCATCATCGTCGTCATCGTGATTGAGCCGAGAAGGGTAAATATATATCACGGGGATAAGGGCGTAAATGAAAGTCAAATAGCAGCTGCCGAGGCGTGTTGTATAGAATACACGTCGCCGATGACGACGACGACGCGTGTCTACGGCCTGGATAGAAGGATTAATTAATCGAATCGGTTTTTTGTTTCTCGACCAGTTTTCACGTACAGCCTGGTGATAATGTGCCGTGGCGACGATAACGTCGAGCATCGAGGGAAAAATCAATGTTGTATTATTCAATCTGTAAGGTAAAGCGGGGGAATACGCCATAGCTAAGGAAAAAATTGGAATAAAAAAGTAATGCATGTATGATATCAAATCTTAAGCATTGAGGACAGTAAAAACACGTTCATGTATTATAAGAAAAACAAAAGCATCACTTTATATTGTTATTTTAATACATGTAGTTATAACAAATTTAGCGACTTGGTTCAAAAGTGCCGTTTTCCCCAAGCATGCAGGGAAGACGCCACCCCGATTGGAACAATATGCCCTTAATCTGAATACAATGAAAAAAATAAAATACTAATTCATTTTCGTGATCTCCTAGCGTAATACCACAGCCAAGCTTGGATGATGTATTTTCATTATCTAGATGTCGTTAACAATTTCCACTTAAACATTTCATTGAAAATTAAACGAATGTTTGCACATTGAACTTTACGAAAAATTTTGACACTTAAAAATCGACTGATAATAGCAGTAAAAAATCAGCTATTTCGTGTCGATATAATCGGATTATCATAAGGCAAATTCCAATAGGTCACTAATCTAAATTTTTTTTCTTATAACCGCGATAATATAGCAAAGTGGCGTTTTCCCCCACTTTACCTTATAATATAAATTTGATGGATTTTTACTGCATAAATGATCGTCTCCTCGTTCACTTGTACTTAAAAAAAATATTTTCAAACTAAATAAACAAGAGAAATCGTAAAGAAAATAATCAATCCGACACATCCGACTGACCATTGGTCATCGTGTTATATGGAGCATGTCATCTCGTAATACATTCATCCGACTAATGCCACTCGGCGTGCCTCGAGCTAAATACACACGCGGCACAACCCAGACGACGACGACGACATATACAAATACACGTTTCATCAAATTTTCCGGACAAACGCCAGCCCATATATGACGGCAGTTTATATAACTGTTTACAAATCTTAACCGCATTATACAGTCATCGTCGGATGTAACACCGTCGCAGCGTATATATACATAGTAGTGCGCGCGTGCGACAGCTGCTGCAACAGCAGATAATACAAGTATGCATACATATCGCGCTTATAATTCCCATACACCTTGTCTTTGCATTCACGCACCTTTCGGTTGTTGTGCACACGCGCACACGTACACGCTCGTACACATTTATGCATGGCTTGCGTATCAATTGTGGCGTTAGCATTTAAAACGTCGCTTATCGAGATGAGCAAGTTGCAAGTTGCAATCGAAAGGTTGACATTGACAGCGTCATAATTCGACTTTCCAACTTCGATGATCGAGGTATTTTTTATTTCGTAAATATAGTAAAAGGAAAAAAACTACAATCGACCTTTAATAGTACATCATTGAGATGTTGCTTCCTTCCGCATGACTTTCTTAATTTTTCTCAAGAGCTGTACAAATCTTTTCCATATACAACAATGCGCCTCCGTAGGCGCACTTCACGTGGATTAGCCCGGATATTTGTTTTTTTTTGTGCGATGTTTTCGATCCGTACAACGCCGGAAATAAATTTTTGGATAAATGGACGCGCGGATATTTACACTGACACGCTGAGGGATGAGACAAAAATCGATTCAAAAAGTGAAAATACCTCCCGCGTCGCTCTGCTCACGCTCAAGTGCATGACAGTTCCCTCCCGTGAATGATCCGTCAAGCGACAATGATCGTTGTACGTCTATTTACCGAGGAAGAGTCAAGTCGCACGCGCAGCAGGCGGAACCGATCGCGTGATTTGAAAAATAGTTCATATATCGTAGGCAAAGAAACGTCGAATGTCCCGAGCGACGACAAATTAGGCCTTGGTGCAGACGCCACGCTGAAAAGTGTCAATAGCTAAGATTGATAAAGACGAGACGATACACTTTTGTTCACATTGTTTGCTATATTT